TTGTCATGCTCGCTGTACACAAGGCCACAAAAAAGGCATGATTGTTCCAGATTGTTTCATCGAACTTTCACCAACTGCGAATGTGTGTGCATATGCGTGTCGTAGATTTTCACCACAACTGCCGCTGTTCCACCCAGATGAGTAGATCCAAAATTGAAGCAGCTTTACCTCTATTGCAGACAGAGAAGCACACATTTGTGTGTGTGTGCATGTGCATGTGTGTGTGTGTGTGTGTGTGTGTGTGTGTGTGTGTGTGTGTGTGTGTGTGTGTGTGTGTGTGTGTGTGTTAGATTTTCCCCACAACAGCCCCAATTCCACCCAGATGAATAGATTCAGAATCAAAGCAGTCTTTGTCCTATTGCAGACAACGAGAGCATTTGAGATGTCCAACATATCAAAGCAATTTTATAATTAGACAGTTTTTTGGTTGTCCTTGGGGTACCCCTTTCATTGTTCTTGCAGCTCACTTTTACTGTGCCTCTGACGCACAAGGCTGCCCACGTTGATTGTGGTCAAGCGGCAGCTGCCCACATCCCCGTGTGCCTTCACGGCCCACTTGCACGTTATTTCAGGAGGCAAAGTACAAGGGAAGGTATGCTCCTGTGCATTTCTCTTCAGAGATTCATACTCCTGTTCATTTCACTTTAGATCTTCAGCTTATACAGTCTTTGTGTCCGTCCTTCATCTTCATACTTCCGTTCACTTCATTTCTGATCTTCATATCGTCTGTTCTCTTAATGATGCTCATTCGTATGTATTTGTTAGTAGGGAGTGGAGGGGAGGGTGGAGGGTAAGGGATAGAAGACGGAGTTCTATAGGAGTACGGGGCAGGGGAGGTAGGGGCAATGGGAAGGAAAGAAATATGTGGAGGGCAGGATAGAGTATGACATGCAAAGAGCAGGGGAAAGGTGTGTGACGAGCTTCACAGATTTCTAAATATTCACCACTGAAACAGACTACTCTAGCAAAAAAAACCTATGGCGAGTGGCCACCCCTACAGACCGGACAGGACCGGTTCGGGTGTGGGCTATGGAAGCACCGCATCCAATTTTCGCAGTCACAGTTGCTGCATCGAATGGCACGGCGCAGACAGATGTCACAGGCTACGTGGCTCGTAGATGCTAGGAACACAGAGGCATGTCGACCGCAATTATAGAGGCATTGCCGTTCCAGCCCGTCTACAAATTGGACATGACATGTCGGGGTGCCGTACATGAGTACAKTACTGACTGTCATCGCACGTATGGAAGCAAAAACTCGCATGGACTATCCCTTCATAATCCGCACAGGATTTGATCCGCAACAGCTCGCCCTGGTGGTGATAAACTATGAGCACATCGCTCTGCCGGTGGTTCATATAGAAGTTAATTTTCCTCCTCGGACTGCTGTGTCCGTCGTTTGTCTGGCAAGAAAGAGGGAGATCCATCAGCGGTTGCCGTACGTGTATGACCAACACCGCATATGGGACATGCTAGGAGAGGATGTGGCGGGTGATGGCACCGGGGATAGTCCACGCAGTAAAGACACATATGACAGCTTCCTGGAAGCATTGACGACACATGGCATGTTGCTGACATGTCATTGGTATGGAAGGCTGACGTGCACAGTTATTTAGATCAAGGCCACAACGGCATGCTGGGCAAGTAATCAAGGGGGGGGGGGGATGAGCACAGGACAGGGGATCACAATTTTCGTGTGAGAAGCTAGCGGCGATCATCCCTTCATAGTGTTCGGAGCAGAGGCTATGTCGTGTACATGCCGACCGAACTGCACTCGTGCGATGACACAACGGGAGGGCACAGCCATCATCCTGTGGAGAGGTCCTTTCACTGTTTGTGGTAGAATCAGCCGGATTGCTCTCCAGGGGGTGCAGTGCTTGCAAGTACTCATGGACATACTGTTCCTGATGGACGAGCCAGACTGAGTGATCCTCCAGCATTTGGTGATAGAAAGAGTAAATATTTCCCACTGTGTGCACCCTACCGCCATTGTCCCATAGGGTCCATGAATTATCTGCAAATGTAAGAGCACTGAAGTGACCTGGACGATATAAGATATATGCCCGAATATTCGGATCCCTGCCTGGCTCGTGGTTTTGCGGAGCAGGCTGGAATTGCAGTTGCCTACCCATAAATGCCATCACCAGGACTTCTATGTTCACACCAGGTGCAGCGCTGTCGTCCTCTGGGCAGACGGCACGGTGCTCTTCTTCTATCCAGTGAACAACGTCTGCGAAATCAGAAACAGTATAAGGATTACAATTGTAAACAAGGAGATATACATTAATGGCATAGTACGCACAGCGCCCTCGCTGTAGCGCTATGACATTGTCCGATTCCGCAGGTTGCGTGGAGGATCCGTTCACATCAGGGGGATCCTCGTTCGATTCTGCAGGTTGCACAGGTGGCGGAGACTCGTTGTGGTCTTGACCAATTGGCTCCGGTATGTGCTCCGGAGAGAGATGATCTTCAACCGGGGGCTCCATCAGGTAATCAGGAGACGGGTCATTGTGATTTGGGGCAGGGGAGCGAGCGGGGCTAGGTGGATGAGAGACGGGCGGGTCAGGTGGGTGAGAACTAGGTGGACCGGATGTGGGAATCGGAAGCTGATCAGCCTCACTTGTGCTCAGGGCGGCTGCTAGTCGTGCAAACGCTGTACGAGTGGCTGCACCTCGTGTCTGGTGCACTCGTAAGCCTGCAGCACTGAAGAAATCATCGCCACATTGCGGGCATCGGACTTGATGTGCATTATTCCTCGCTAGTCTATACTGAAAGCGACGATGTTGTTCCGTACGGTTGCTAGCATGTCGTAGGAGCAGATCTCTAACCCTGCAGGGGGGCCAGTGATCATGCCATTCAACGACAAAAGAGGCCGCTGTCTTGGAGGCTGCTGTGGAGACGGGGAATGTCTCCGCCGAAGAGACATCTGGAACGACCGATCTAACAACGGATACCTCGTCCAACAGGGCCTTTGTGACGGCCGATCTGAACATGAGTGCGTTGTGTGTGTGTGTGTGTGTGTGTGTGTGTGTGTTTTAGATTTTCCCCACAACAGCCCCAATTCCACCCAGATTAATAGATTCAGAATCAAAGCAGTCTTTGTCCTATTGCAGACAACGAGAGCATTTGAGATGCCCAACATATTAAAGCAATTTTATAATTAGACAGTTTTTCGGTTGTCCTTGGGGTACCCCTTTCATTGTTCTTGCAGCTCCCCTTTTACTGTGCCTCTTACGCACAAGGCTGCCCACGTTGATTGTGGTTGAGCGGCAGCTGCCCACATCCT